AAAGAACCCCAAAAAATGTCCCCAAAAAATTTTAAATTTTCCTTAAAAAACAGAAAAATTTCGTTTTGATCAGATTTTGTTTTAATCTGTGACAGATAATGCTAGAAATCATGTGAATGCATAATAATTTTCACATAAACAAATCCGAGTGCATCAATGTTAGGATTTGGATATGTTTTAATATAAATGATTCTAATTACCCTAGTGAGATTAGGTATAGCATATGTAATATCAAAAAACATATCCAAACCCTAATGATAACACTATCAAGCTTTCTAAATTAGTAATATTGTAATACTAGTATGACTCATTTTATTTGACAATATCCAAATGACAGATGCTCTTAGATTTTTATTTGTTTATGTAAAAAATTATCAATCAATATTAGAGAGTATTATTTAATCTAGGCTGGCTTTTTTGAATAGTACCTAGGATACCATATGGGATGTTCTATAGAATAGGTGGGCAAACTCCGAAAACTCTGCAACTCCACTATTAAAAAATTAATGATTACTAATCATTAGCGAAGCTTATTTCATATATTGCCCACCTATTCTATAGAATAACCATCATGGGATTAAAAGCAAACCCCATCATATTCCCATTACCGCTAAACATATTAATCATACTCAAACTTTGAATTCATGGTACAAATATAAAATTAATCTTTATTAACAAACTAACTGCTTTAAACATAAAAAAATATCATAATTTTATCGCATTAACAAAAAAAAATAATTTGCTTCGCCTAATCTCGAAACTTGATTGGCCAATACGATAAAAAAAAACTCCCAGCGAATGAGCAGATGCACATCTTGCTATTCTGTTAACTATTTTATATAATTTATATTTTAGCAAATATAATGCTAAAATTATTTATAATATTTTTAATATTTAAATTTGCAAAAACGAAATTTATTTTAATATTGGCATTTAAAATGACCAAATTAATTTAATTAAGTTAATATCACTAGTCATGACTAGATAGGTGGGTTAGTCATGGCGAAAAAATGTCGTGATGACATGATCAGCGATCACTTCTGATCCTGATAAAACAAATTACATATTACATTGAAATAATTATTACAGTATTAAGTCTTTCATATGTAGACTAATAATCATTTTGACATAATACATAATTGGTATTATCAGGGTCAGAAGTGGTCGCCGATCACATCACCGCAACATTTTTTCGCCATGACTAACCCACCTTGACAAGATAGAGCATAGTAAATAGCTCCTAAAATCAAGTCGATGCTTTTTGCATTAAACTTGTTTCTAATTTCTAAAGTTTTTAATGTTGTGTTTTGTATATCAAACTTGTAATATTCTTTCCCATCGTATCAAATTTATAATTATTATTGATCTTTAAAATTCTTAGAATTTTAATGCTACCTAATGCTTCGAATATATTCCAGAGACAACAGTGTGATTTAAACAATTGCTAATATTTAACTCTTTAAGTTTAATGTTGGGTGAAAGTAAACGAATAATATGAATACACTTTAAACCTTTAGTACCAGAAAGATCGAGGTATAATAATTTAGGAAGCTTTTTTAATGATTCGATAAGATCATTGCTATTAGAACCTATTTTTAATCGTGTAAATGATTTGTTACTTTCGAAAAATGTTGCAAGTTTTCCAAATCACTCTGTATTAATTCATGGTTTGAAAGGTCTAAATTGCTAATGTTTCTATTAGACAACTTTTCTCGAAGATATTTGATTGCTGCTACTTTTCATAATCATTTTTGACTTTCATTTTTTTCGAGTATGTCCATGTTACAAATAAAAAAGAACTTATAAATAATGCAAAAGACTTAATTTTATTTGTTCTTAATTGATTACATAATAATAAAAATAAAAAAAAGAATATTTCGTAAAATTAACCAATCATATCTATAATACATTGATAAATATTTTTTCGGTTGCAATTTTAACTTGTGGGCATACACCTTTTAAATAACATGATGCATTCACTGTTAAAGAACTATCATTATTAACTAATTTCCTACTATCATAAACAATTATACCATAGCTCCCATCGAACCTTGTAACTGAAGAATGCATTTTAACAATGACATCTGAGCCTAATGGAGATTCTTGACATTTACATTGAATTAAAATAAGTTTACCCTTATAAGAAGCAAAAATATCAATTCCATTGTCTCCACTTCCACTGACAACATTACAAGGAATTCCTTTGTTCTTCAATATCTTACTAATTTCGTTTTCGAATTCCTTTCTAATTTTTACGTTTGAAACGCCGTAAGATAGTAAACTTTTCTTTTGATTTTTCGTAATTTCTTTATGTAAACGCTTAACTTCATTTTTCAACTTCTTAATTTCATTCTCTAAACCCTTATTTTTATCTCTAAGAGATTTAATGACATCAATTTTTTGTTCATTTTTTGAATTTTTCAGCTTCTTAATTTCATTCTCTAAACTCTTATTTGTATCTCTAAGAGATTTAATGACATCGATTTTTTGTTCATTTTTTGAATTTTTTAGCTTCTTAATTGCATTCTCTAAACCCTTATTTTTATCTCTAAGAGATTTAATGACATCGATTTTTTGTTCATTTTTTGAATTTATAAGTCTATTCTTCTTTACAAGAGGCTTAATGACATCGATTTTTTGTTCATTTTTTGAATTTGAAAGTCTATTCTTCTTTACAAGATACGGAGTAAAATGTAATGAATCCTTAAATTCATCGAGAACTCTTTGTTGAATAAAAAATCTTTTATTCTTTATAGGGATTCCTCCCTTTTTTTGTTGTAATTGAAAGTTGAACATTCAAGAAACAAAAAACCGTGCGAAAACCATTTTTATTACACAAAACACTAATACAACCAAATTTATAACACAAAACACTAAATATAACCAAATTTATAACACAAAACACTAAATACAACCAAATTTATACACAAAACAAAACATAAAACTTAAAACACTAATATAACCAAATTTATCTTTATTCGCAAAAAATGTACATAATCTTTACATATTCAAACAATGCTAAATCATTTGGTCCGCTTGTGAATAGAGTCACAAGGAGGGACATTATTGCGAGTCCATGTGACAGCAAGTCACTGGACTTGTTCATGACGAAATGTTATTTGAGTAACCTGATGATCTGCATTGATTTCTTTGTTCTTTGTCCAGGGCGATACAATTGCAAGACACTGGACTTTCTGGAAAAAAAAAAAACCTAAAGTACGATGCTCGAAAAGTCTGCTCACGTGACCTCCTGCGGCTTGTTCCACGACCCTATAAGAAATTTTTACACGTGATTGCACATGACTGCACGAAATATAGCACGTCCAAAGCACGGAAATCAGATCA